CGGGACTAACAGAGGAGAAATAAAAGAACAGGAAGGCAAAAGGAGACGCTGCCAGCCACTGCCAGGACAAGCAGCATGTGAAGATGCTGGTAAGCCACGAGCCACGTAGCAAGATATAGATTTGTAGAAATGCGTTACTTTAAGATATAAGAATAGTTAACAAGAAGCCTGCCACGGCCATACAGTTTGTAAGCGATATAAGTCTCTGTGTTTACTTGGTTGGGTCTGAGCGGCTGTGGGACTAGCGGGTGACAGAGATTTGTCCTGAGTGTGGGCAAGGCTGGAAAACTCTAGCTACAGGATCTACCAGACCTTTATAGATGAGCTAACACCTGTGCTTTTCTAACTACTCCATAAAACAGGAAAAGGAGGACAGTAATCAAACCCTTGTTACAATGTCAGTATTACTCTGCTGCCCAAGTCAAATAAAAACACAACAATAAACAGAGAATTATGGACCAATCTCCCTAATGAACATTATATGTAAACATTCTCAATAAAGATGCTTACAAACTGAATTCAAAACCACAAAGAGATTATTCATCATGACGAAGCTGACTTCACTCCAGAGATACAGGGATGGCTCAACACATACAACCAATAACTATAATACACTATATAAATGAACCTGAGAGAAATCACACACAAAAAAAAAATCATCTCAATAGATATGTTTGAGGCTTCTGACAAATTCCACCATCCTTTCATGACAAAAGTCCTGAAGATACTAGGAATAGAAGGAGCATGTCTCAACATAGCAAAGGCGACATGCAGTGGACCTTGAGCCGTCAATCATATAAGTGGGGAACAATAAAAAGTATTTCCACAAAGATCAAGAACAAGATAAGAGAGTTTGTCCACGTTTACCAACTATTTTACAATGGAGTATTAGCTAGAATAATAAGACAAGAGAAAGGATACAAATAGAAAAGTCAATATATCCTTATTTACAAAAGTTACTCTACACATAAAAGACCCTAAAGACATCATGAGAAAATTCTTAGATCTGATGAACACTTTCAGCAACATGACAGGATACAAAATTAACATGCAAAAATCAATATTAAAAATCAGTAGCCTTCCAAAGAGAAACGAGCATGCTGAGAATAAAATCAGGAAAACAATTCCATTCATAACTGCCTCAAAAAAAAAAAAAAAACCTTGTTGTAAACCGAACCAAAATGTGACTGACCTCTACAAAGAAAATTTGAAAGACTGAAGAGATTGAATATAAAATGAAAATGGCTGTACTACCAAAAGCAATCTGCAGATTCAATCCAATTTCCATCAAAATTCTAGGGTCATTTGTCGCAGAAATAGTTAAAACAATCTCAAATTTCTATGGAAGTACTACAGACCCTAGTGAGTCAAAGCAGTCCTTACCAAAAAGGCTAAGTCTAGAGGAACCTGATTTCAATGTATCCAATAAAGTCACAGTAACAGAACCTCAATGTACCAACGCAATTCAAATAAAATATAATCACCTCATTTTTTTATAAAGGGACCAAAAATAGACACTGGAGAAGTCAGCCCCTTCACTAAGTATCTTCACACAGAAGAATGAAACTACATCTTTATCTTTCAACCTCAGCAGATAGATATCATCTCAAAATGGATCCACGACCTCAAAATAGTACCTGAAGCTCTAAAACTGCTAGATCAAAAATTAGGACAGACACTTCAAGATACATTTCTCACAGAACTTTGTTGCTCAGGAAATAAAGCCAACAATCAACAAATGGGACCTCATATCAAAAAACGTCTGTACAACCAAGCAGGCAGTGACTTGAATGCCGACAGCCTACACAGCAGGGGAAAATCTGTGCTCGGTACACATCAGAGAGAAAATTAGTATCTGGGATATACAAGTACCTCCAAAAACAGAACAACAGGAAATCAAACACACGAGTCAGTAAGCGAGCCAATTAAATGAATGACAGTTCCCGGAAGATGAAACAGAAATGATCAAAGAATGTATGAAAAATTCAGCCATCAGAGAATGCAAACTAAAACACACTGAGGTTCCATCTCACCCCGATCAGAATGGCAGTCATCAAGGAAACAAGTAATGAATGAGGCTGGAGAGACTGCTCAGTGGTCAGGACCTCTTGTTACTCTTTCAGAGGACCTGGGCTCAATTTCCAGGACCCTTATATGGTAGTTCACAACCATTTGTAATTCTAATTCCAAGGAATCCTGTGATGATTTCTGTCCTCCAGGGATACCAGGCATACATGTGCACAGACATACATACAAGCACCCATACACATACAAGTAATAAAAAGATTACAAGATAGTTAAAATAAAAAAAAAAACTCAGAGGAGGGTGTGAATGAAAGGAAATCCTCAAATTGTTGCTGGAAATGTATACTAGCCCAGGCACTATGGGAATCAGTTTGGAGGTTTCTCGGAAAATGCAAAACAAGAATACCACACGATCCAGATGCACCATTCCTGAGTGTTTGCCCAAAGAACTCTCAGTCAGTGTATCAGTCAGACATGCTTACACATCAATGTTATCAAGACACCATTCACAATAGCTAAGTTACAGAACCAACCAAGGTGTCCAACAGCAAGGGAATGGAGATCTATACGTGTGTGTGTGTGTGTGTGTGTGTGTGTGTGTGTGTGTGTGTGTGTGTGTGTGTATGTAATGAACAGTGTTTTCAGACACAAAGAAAAAAGAAGTTATGTGATTTTCAGGAAAACAGATTCAACTGGAAATAATCATCTTAAGAAACTAACCCAGTCTCAGACATGTGCATTTTCTCTCATTTTTAGTTCCTACATTTCACACACATAAAGTTTATGTGTGTGTGTATATATATGTGTGTATAATTGTATATACATGATTTATATGTGATACACACACACACACACACACACACACACACACACACACACACGATATTCGATATTAAAGCAGAGACCAAACTGTCCAGGAGAGTAAAGGAGACTGGGGATGGGAAGTAAGAAAGGGGAAGGTAGAGAAATACAGTAGGGGAGAAATGTGCTCACCACAGACTACATATGTACATTGAAAGGAATACAGCACCATGTCCAATGATGTAGGAGACCCACTCCCACTTTTTCCCCCAGGGAACTCTTGAGGAGTGAGGGATAAGATATCAGACAGAAGGACAGAGGGGAGAGAGAAATGGATAGAAACACAGGATAGCCTCGGGAGGGCCTGGATCCACCAGTCCCTTCTGTCCTTTAAAGGGCTATTTATAGGAATGCCAAGGGGTGGAGCAAAAGAGCCCCCCCTATCACAGTCAAGTGCAGACCCTTCCAAACACTTAGTAAGCATGCACGTGGTCAATCCATCCCCTTATGCAGCCCTGCTGGGTAAAGCAAGCTCAGATATCACCAGGAAACCTCTGTGGGCTTCCACACAATGAATACAATAAATTTTTAAAATAAGATTTTTAAGAAATTTAATCTATTACTAAGCTGTTTTTAATAATAATGTTAGCCATTTTAATATATGTAATAGAAAAAACAATGCTTACCACAATGCTTTGAATGTCCCAAAATTTCATCAGCTTTCATAGCCTCACACAATTCCAAGTACTGAACACACTGTTGAACTGCTGTAGTTATCTGAATAAAAATAATAATAACAACTGATTGGTTCCAGAAATACATAGCCACTGTGTCCAAAAATTATAAAATTAATCAAGACTATTAAAAAGCCTAATGATATGTATGTATGAAATACTATATGAGATCCTATCACTGAGCATGTTAAGTTTAAAAATTAATTTAAGATAATATGGATTAGGAAATCTACTCCAATAATTGTTAAAATTTAAATTTTAGGTGCTAGATAGATGGATCAGTGGTTAATAGCACTTGTTGTTCTTACAGAGGACCAGGTTCAATTCCCAGAACCCACATGGTGGATCACAACCATCTGTAACTCCAGTTCCAGACAATCTAAAACCTTCTGGACTCTGCAGGCAGCAGGCACACACATGGGCACTGATATACATGCAGGGAAGCATAATTAATTTTTTAATAATAAAATATAGTTATAGGAATAGTATATCCTTATTTTAAATCTGTGTATACCTTACAGAACCAGTCTGTGCCCAGTAATATAAAAAATCTCTTCTCAGCTCCCTACCTTGGGGGCTTTTCTTCTCATCACCCATCAATAGACCAACTGAACCTAGAATTTGTTCCCATCTCAAATACCAGAATTGCAAAAAAATAACTTTAAAAATTCAAATTTCAAAGAACAAAGTCACAATAAAAAAAAAAAAACCTATTGTCCCTAATGGTCTCAATTATCATGTCTCCATTCTCCACAGCAGAGATTTCCAACCCCCTTCATCACAGACATATTTCTTTTTAAATTTTATTTATCTGTATTATTTATGTATATGTGCCTGTGTGAGTTTCTGTGCACCATATGCATGCAGGTGCCCTGAGATGTCAGAAGAGGGTATTGAATCTCCTAAAATGGGGTCACAGGTGGTTGTGAGCTGCCCTATGGGTGCTGGGAGGCAATCGTGGGTCCTCTGCAAGAGCAACAAATGCCCTAAATGGCTGAGCCATCTCTCCTGCCCCACAGACATATCACTTACAGATGACTTTTAATTCTAATTTCTGAACAAAATAGATGCTCTTGGTAAGATAAAGACTGGTGAGACTTAAGTTAGGTGATATAAAACTGTTGGAGATCAGACTCAAGTGAGGGTGTGGGGAGCTGGAGTGTAATAAAGGAATGAGAACTGAAATGCAAAGGTATCTAGTGTATAGAAATGAATAACAGCAACAGCTAGTATAAGGTCCGAGACTGTACTTCTTTTCCAGTGAGCAGGCCATGTTCATGTAGAGGTTCCTTTTCTGTTATTGCTGTTTTGTTTGGTTAATATTATTAAAAGGGGTGAGAAGGCTTTCCATATACCTAAACTGTTTTTGCAAATACTGCTGTTCATATTGCACATCTGTTTTCAATCTACTAATCTGAGATCCTGGACCAAACTGACTATGACCCAGCCCACTGTGGGTAGTGCTACCCCTGGGCTAGTGGTCCTGGGTTCTATAAGAAAGTAATGGGAATGGAAGACACCAAGACACCAAGACCTTCTAGACATAATAGGACTCATGCACATAAGGCTTCATTCACATAGACTATGGCAATGCACTTGGCCTCTAGAGGTCTAAGGCAGATGGAGTCGGAGCACTAAAAAGGAAAGTGGACAGAAGCCAATCCCTAACCCAGAAGCTATCTCCAATTGATAACCATCACAAAGGGAAAATTAGTTTTCTCCAACAGAGTCTCACTGAGTATACAAACAGCACTTAGAGGCAGGCCCCATGTCCAGCAGCAGTTGGCCAACACAAAACTAACTCTTGAGGTTTCAGTTGTGAGTCTAGCCTTTAAAGGTTAAACCATCTCTCCAAAATGAACCTCAAAAAATGGTATTTGGGGAGGGTTGTTGTTTGGTTTTGTTTTTAACCTTACAGTTGTTTTGAATGCACAGTCTGATTTTCGGTTTTGTGTTTTTATGGCATTTTTGTGTGTGTAAATGTCTGTGTCTCTGCATCTGTGTTTCTTGTGCTTTTTGTTTGGCACTTTTCCTTTCAGGTCACCTGTTTGCTTTGACCTATTCAGGTTTGTTCTTATTTTATCTTCATTCTTTTCTTTTCCCTTCTAGATACTTGTTTGTTTTCTAATGAGAGAGAGCAAGAAAGGGTATGGACATGGTTTGGGTAGGTAGGGAGGAGGGGAAGGAGCTATGGGGAGTTGGAGGAGGAAAACCCTAATCAGAATATGTTGAATGAAAACAATCTGTTTTCAATAAAAAAAATTATTTAATATAGTAACAGTTGCTACTTTCAGGAACTTTTGATCAGAAAAAAAAATTAGTTTTTCCTAATAGACTCAACATCGAAAGAACAGAAGAATATAGTTTCTTCAACTGAAAACATAAAGCATTACCTCCAAAACAATGTTTCTCACTGTTCACTTATGCTTCAACTATCCAGAAACTTACATATCCTTGCAGCCAAGTTTTCACTTCATTACCCATTTCAATGTCTTCTATTATTTCTATTTCTTCCTCTGTCTTCTAACCATAACTATTCTTTGTTGTTAAAAAGAGTAATAATCACAGGAGAAAAATAACGATTTCATGACAGAAAAAAAAATCAAAGAAGCAGAAATCAGATAGACAGGGTGAATACAGACTGAAGAATCAAGCTAGCATCTCCCTAGTTTTCAAACAGACATATAAAGCTGGGTTCTCAAAACCCCCAACTGTATTCCATACATGGTAATTATGCAAGTAGACATACAACCAGACTATTCATTTCATTGATATTGCTCAGACAGGGTGGGGAGAGTTAAATATCGAAGGGCAGAGAAGGCCAGGAGAGAATTTAACCTAACTTGCAGGTTATTTTTGTTTATAACTCCAGGAGCTGGGAATCAACCTCTGGTCCTCTAAAACAGCAGCCAACGCTCTTAAACACGGCACCATCTCTCCGGCCTCCTAAATTACCCTTTGTTGTCCTTGAAACTTAGAGAGCTTTATAGAAAAGAAATAGGGTTTTAGGCAGAATCTTGAGAAAGCTTGAGCCATTACATAAATAAAAGTATTTGACCAAGTTGAGAAAATATTAAAATAATTTATAATAAAGAAATTTTACATGCAAGCAAAAATTGGTTGTTGGAGTTAGCTTTCAAATAAGAAACCGATAGATTCTAAGGGCCAATCTCTAAGAAGCACCTTAAATCCTTCTGGGGCCTCTGTGATAGCAAGGGTGAATTTCTATTTGGATATAAACACTGAAGAATAACCTTGGGGCTTTTCTCTCTTGCTTTGTTAAAACTGGATAAGTCTATGTATTTATGGCAACAAATCTCCCTTTCTACAGTAATTACAGAGAAACAATACGTAGAAGAATCTATTTCAATTGTTCTACACATTTTCTAGGACCATTGACCTCTACAAATAAAGTCCCCTGCCATTAGCCAATATTTCTCTCTCCTTCTCCGGCTAGCTTCTCTTGGCTGTCACAAACCAAAACCAAGTTTTCCCTTGTTCACATTTTGCTCCGTTACTCAAATCCAAAAATTGACAATTCCAGAAATCCTGCCTTCAAATAGCTTCTAGACTCTAGGTTCTGCCTCAATACAGAAACCATATTTATTACCTTCTTAAATGCTTTTTTAAATTACATGTTTTCACATTTGTCAATTATTATGTTTTACTGATTTCTTTTCCATGTCTTTCAGTATCCTTATACATTGTTCCATAACAGCAATGAACATGGGTATTTTGGGTGATAAATGAATAGTATCGAGCTGTATTTAGTATAACTCAAACCAAATTTTGCAAACACAAAGGCATTTCTCACTGAGTCTTTTTCACACCACTTTCACGCATTGGCTTGGTATATTTTATAGAAGTAATTCCTTTATTAATGGCTGACCTGAGTCAAATTACAAGGTAATCCTTAAAAATATGGCTTCTCTCCAACCAGTCTATTATTTATGGCAGCCAATTTGCCACATACTTGCCTATTTCCTGTTTCCCTTAGTGTCCTTTAAGATTCAACTTTTATCTCTTTACATTTCATATAATAGGAGTTTAAGGTCATATTAAAAGGGATTGCTTCATTACCCAAGATTAATCACTGCCATGCAACTTTGCATATTTAAGGCACTACATCACATATCTTTCTGTGTCATTATTTCTTAGCATAAAAACAGACGTGTAGCTTACCAGAGATTTATATTTCTTTTCAAGTAGTCTTAGTACTGCAGTTCTGCTGTAATATGCATGCTAAAATTAAAGAGAAAAGCATTTAATGTTAAAGGTATGTCATTTAAAATCCATTTCCTCCATCGTTTACAGTGTCATAAACCATACCATAACTTAGGTTTAAAATATCATAATCAATGTCAAGCAGGTTTTACCTATGTGTAATGAACTACAAGCATAGTAATCACAAGAATGCAAATTGCATAAAAAATAGTGTAGATCATTTCCTGACAGATTTAAGATGAGGGCGACAATTCATTACTTATGTCCAATTTCTATGCTAAACTAGTTTTTAAAAAATACCTCCAAAGTAGTATTCCGAGCTATGAGTGTATGATCCAAGGTGTAGGGGGAGGATATGTAAATGAGAGAGGGAAACAAGACCACTAATTCTGTGTGACTACATGCACAGAAATTTGCAAAGGTGAGATACTCCAACAAGACAACATCTTTTTGACTTTATACCAATATTATTTGTAAATAAATGTCTATGCTCAAAATGTCTTTATTTCCTTAGGACCAATATTAGATGGAATTAAAACACATACATACATAATATTGTAGGAAGCCAGGGAAAATTGCAAGTATTTTAGCTAGAATTATAAGCATTTAACTAACCAGCTTTAATGTTTAAATCTGCTCCTTCGTTTTATTTAAAAACAATAAAATAATTAAAACATCACTAAAAACTTCATCAGGATTCTGGTGATCGAATTTTTAATTCATTAGACAGTGCTTTTATTCAAAGCTCACCAAAACCCTGTGTGATTTAGGCCTTTGGCTTAAAATGTTTTTAAAAACCATTAATCCCTTTCTCAGTAATTATTAAAGGAAATATGCTGGCGTATAAATGAAACTACTTTTAGTATTATCCTGTTCTGCCAAGCCTGGTGATTGACACCTTAAAATCCCCAGCACTGGGAGATGGAAGCATGAGAATCAGGAGTTCAAGTCCATTTCAACTACATAGTGAGTTCAAGACCAATATGGTTTATAAACAGAAAGTTCTGAAAAAGAAACCTTACTGCATCTTTATCAGAAGGGTCAGCAAACTATGGCCCTAAAACCAAAGCTACCCACTATGCATTTGTGTAAGTAATGTCTTATTGGAACACCCTGCAACAGCTACCATTTAGACTGAAAAGCTGCAAAAAGTTGTCCAGTGCACAAAGCTAGAAATACTTAGTGCCTGGCTCTTTACATAAAATGTCTGCCAACCCTTCCCTTAGACACAAAGGGTACAGGGGAATGAGATACATTTCTGTTGCTTTAATAAGCATAAATAAAATACTTAATTTAATAATTTTCTAGTGTCTTTAGTTTTTTGTGATCTGCCTCATTCACTTATTGAAAATCAAAATGTTAAGTGAAAAAGCTTTACAGTTACCAGAATATAATTTTTGTTTAAAACAAAAGACTTAACCATAATAATATATATTATATAAATATGAATCTATATAAAGCTAGGACTTAATGGTTATCCCTGTATTGTATAGGGTTAATGTGCTTTTACATTTTTTGCATACTGTCTTCAATAAAGCTAGTTTCATCTTTGAGAAAATTAAGAAAAACTATCAGATGGAGGGTACAAAAGATTCAAGTTAATTAATTAAATTGATTTAATTAATAATAATAAATTTAAATACTACTACATAGATTATATAAGGGTTAGCACTATAGAGGTGTGCTCTAACAAACTAGGCATATACCACAGACTTTCAACATCAAAAGACAAAGTCAACTAGTCAGACCGCTCTGCCAAGTACTAAGTGAGAAGTCCCGTCCCTTCTCTCTGCTCCGCAGACAAATACCTAGAGCTGGACAGACAGGACAAGAAGGACAAAGCCATAAGCACAGGGGTCAGTGTTGGTGCTGCTACAAGAGAGGGACTCTGTCATTCCACGATAGCTGACAGGTGATAGTATAGACAACTCTAACATGGCTTTCAATCTGGGTCTGTCATAAGCCTCACTGGAAACGGCCAGATCCAGGCATTAAACATCTCCCCAAATGCAGGTTCAGGAAGCAGCAAACAAAACCGCTTCTAGGCATTAGCCTCAAAACTAGTGATTCTCAATCTGTGGGTCGTGACCCCCTTGGGAATCCCATACCAGATATCCTGTGCATCAGACATTTACATTATCATTCATAACATTAGCAAGACTACAGTAGCAATGAAATAATTTTATGGTTGGGGGTCCCCACAACATGAGGAACTGTATTAAAGTATCACAGCATTAGGAAGTGTGTTGAAAACCAGTGCTCTAAACCCAAGAAAAACGAGCCCTGAATCCCTATGTCCTGCCACCCCTATTTATGATTTCTGTAAGTTTAGATTCACGAAAATCAAGACCTTTGATAAATAATTCATCTTAAATCGACTCAAATGGATCACCACTTAAAACCTCTCCTGCCTTTCCCTGGGCAAAACAGCTTTCCCACGCCTTAGATCTGACACCCCCAAACAGGGCACAGGCCACCTACCGCCATATCCATGTACAGACTAAAGGCAGTCACATATGCAGAAAGCCAATTATAGCTCAGCACACACCCACCACATGAAACTGGCTAGTCACTAAAATGATGGAGAAAAAAAACATTTTTCCTTACCATCCATTTTTTGAACCACACAGCTTTAGTATCAACTAATGCAAAAAAATAGATGGGATCCAAAATCTTCTGTGAGACAAGATGGCTTTGATCATGTTTGACGGATAACAGGGACAAAGTACTCTCCACAATTTCCTCCATGTACCTTAGTGTTTGGGAAAGAAGTAATTTCAAAAAATAAACAATGGTTAGTGCATGTGATATTCTTATCCTTCTGGAATAACAATGTGGAATGTAATCTTTATAATTTCTATAAATTCTATAATTCTGTACAATTCTATAATTGTACTTTCTATAAAGGGTAGAGGTTAAGAGCTGGTCAGCTTTTCTGTTCTGTTGCACGAATCCTAAACGGTCGTATAATAAAAACCCGGAGCCAGATATTGGGGTAAATGCTGAAAGATCAGAGGAAACAAGCCACAGCCACTTCTCACCTTGCCAACTCCTCAGCCAATCCCGTCTCCACAAATCCTCAGACTGAATGTCCGTCCCTGAGTCCTCAGCTGAAATGGCCCCTGTTCCTGTCTCCTCATGCCTTATACGCCTTTCTCTGCCCAACCATTTCACTTCTTATCTAATCCTTCCTAGTGCTGGGATTAAAGGCGTCTGTGCTTACCAAATACTGGTAACAAAGGCAGGAGATCTCAAGTGCTGGGATTAAAGGTGTGAGCCACCACTGCCTGGAATGGCTACCCACTATAGCCTGGCTCTGTCTCTTTTAGACTGGATTCATCTGGTGTAGTCTATGATGGCCTTGAACTCACAGAGATCCAGACGGATCTCTGCCTCTGCCTCCGAGTGCTAGGATTAAAGGTGTGTGCCACCACTGCCTGACCTCTGTGGCTAGCTCTGTCCTCTGATCTTTAGGCAAGTTTTATTAGAGTCCAACAAAATATCTCCACACTGTTCTAAAAACTTAAGTTCCTTCTGCTTCAGCACTCAAGTCTCCAGATACAACGCTCAGTTTTAGACTCGCAGATGCTCTTACAATCGTTTCAGAATTTTTTAAGAAACTTGTCCAAAGTAGCGAACATGCCTAAGAACCCAAGACTCAACGCCCTTCTTCCACAATGTTGTAGGTGACATAAAAACATGCTTGAGTAGGACCATGTGCTCAGCTAAGTATGCCTACATCGAAGAAAAACTGTATTAATACCTTCTGTCCTGGTGAACTTCTCTGCTGCTGTGATAAACACCATGACCAAAAGCAACTTCAAGAGGAAAACTTTCGCTTTTGCTCACAAGTTACATTCCATCAAGGGAAGCCAAGACAGGAAGTTGAGGCAGGAGCTTCAGGCAGAAACCACGGAGGCCCTGCTTGCGGCTTCTCTCCTCGAGCCTGCTCCCTTGGCTCACTAAACACTTTTCTCACACAGCCCGGGCCCACGTGCCTACGGAAGGCGCCTCCTGCATCAATCTGAGGTTAAGAAAATACCCCGTAGGCCAGCGTGATGCGGGCAGCTCCTCAGCTGAGGGCCTCCTTTCCTGGGTGGTTCTATTTTGTATCAAGCTGGCAAAACCTAAGCGGCACACTGAACCATGTAAGTCCCCGAAGGCCACTGTTCCCTTCTGTTCTGGAAAGACCTGAGGGGCAGAGCCCATGCCTTACATTGCCTGACTCGAGGGACTTACTTCTCTGGGTGACGAATCCAAAAAGATGGAACCTCTTTCTGATATTCATTCAGAAGGCGAACCTGTAAGCAAAAATACACAAAATCTCTCAAAATATTATAATTCTGAAATAATAGAACTACTTGGCATAATGTGATTGTAGTATTATGTAGTAAACGATACCTTCTTCAGTAAGCGGGTCACATTCGGACTGGTTATGTCTACTCCAGTTGAAAGAGTGGGAATGTGATTTTCTCTAGAAAGAAAGTATAACTCCAGATATTTAGCTGAAAACAAAGATGAAAATATATAGCCATTATATTATACAGTGCTTCTGGAAAAGTCATTGCTTATAAATTTTTCTTAAGTATATATAAGAGAAAAATATTTGAGGTGCACATACCTCAAATAAAATAAAATATTCAGTGAACATACCTAAGCTTGTATAAATTTCCTTGGTCATGTGTAACGGCGAGAGTGTAAAAGTCTGTGCATAGAACTTTAGAATCCGGTCCTACAGAAATGAGAGAGAACATCCTGACTTTAGCTTCTTACAACCGCACAGATGAAACACTTTACACATTTAAACAGAACATAAACACAAAAGACGCTATCCAAAACCAGATGAAGCACATGTCTGTTTTAAAAGGCATATTCTTGTTCAGCCAAAAGGAAAACTAACCACAGCTAAGAGTAAAACGGGAGACAAAAACGTACTGCTGTGAGATCTTGTAACGGCAGGCAACGGGAGCAGAAAGCGGGAGGAAGGAGGGGTCAGTGGGGCTGGGAAACCAGGCTGGAGGCTCGCATGGGGGTTCTAGTCTGGATTTAATGACGTCATCCAGCAGTGGGCACACAGGCAACACGACATTGCAAGACCTCACATAGTCAAGTCCAGGACTTGTTTCTTTATATTTAACATTAGTGAACGTTTAGGAGTCCTTCTAGGAACAGTGACTATTCACTAGAAAAAAAAAATACTACATAAAAATTTTAATTTTCAATTTATCAAAACTCCTGGAGAAAATAATCACAAAATAAACTGAATGAGAAGTACAGGCAGTCCCTGACACTAACAGGCATTAAAATAGTGCCTGACCCTTCATTTTCTTTCAAACCACTTAAATAGCATGAGAAGAGGAAATCTTCTAGCGAAATACAAGTTGCCATTAAATAAAAACAATCTTGCCTCACATTTTCTAATCTACAGGAACAAAATTAATAACCTTGTTTATATCACCCAGGCTAATATTTTCACGGGAAATAGGTCCCCAGATGGTTAATGGTATCTCCCGCTAACTCTAAGACCTTCCCACTGAACCAAGGCTCTGAAGTGTGTGGAGTCCGGGTTGACAGCTGCAGCGGCTCATAAGAATCTGTCGTTTTTCAGCCACTAGAGGCTTCGGTCAGCTGCACGTAACAGCTCTATAGAACAGCAATGATGTCGCCAGCAATTTAGATGCAGCATAAACTGAAAATAAAAGGATGCTATATCTGTCCAAAACGATTTGATCCTGCCTCCAGCTTTCTTTATAACAATTGTTGGCAACTTGTGAACTCAAGTAATGAGCTGAACCTTGCTGCATGGTAATGTACAATAGCTAAATAAAGCAACTTGTAATGACCCATCAGAAACTTTTAACATGTTTATAAAGTCATAATTTTTGAAATCAAGAAAATATATTCAGGCATGATTCTCTTCCATCAGATAAGGGGAAAAATACAGGTAAACTGACAATTACATTTCTTTTTAGAATTGAAATGCTAAAGGTGACCCTAAAAATATCTCTTTTGGCCCCTTTGAAGTCCTCATATCAAAGTTTTTATAGAAATGTAGAATACTTTCTGGGGTTTGTATTCAAGGCAAACATCTTTTTCTTTTGATATAAATAATAAAAGTGGTTCCCAAATCATTTCTGCCTCGAGTCTAATAATATCTCCACTGATGGAAGATTTAAAATACATAAATGTAACTGGATACCTTGTTTTGCCATGACTACCTGCCTCCTGTCTCTCTTGTGATGTAAACCCTAAACTGAAGTTCCACGGCTGAGCTACTAAGGAAAAGGATGAAATCCCCCTTGGGTCTAGAAGAGTGCTTCACAGCCGTCTCCTTACAGTGAACGTAGGATCTGGATCAGACAGGGACGAGGTCAGTTTTTCACAGAGCGTGGTCCAGTTTTCACAGTTCAGGACATCCGAAGGAGGAGCTGAGCATAGTGTTTGCAAAGCTTCATATCTCACCTACAGAGTTTAAAATAACCGTGTTATTTGTTGTTCGAATCTTAGACGGTCTTTTAATTTAAAAACAAACAAACAAACAAAGACCCGAAGCCAGATATCAGGGTGAAAGCTGAAAGATGAGAGATGCAGAGAAGCCAGCCACTAGTTTTACGTCTATAAAATCCTCAGCCTAAAGAGAGTGAGTTCTCCTCATGCCTTATATACCTTTCTCTGTCCTGCCATAATACTTCCTGGGATTAAATACTCGTGTGCTTACCAATCAAAGGCATGAGATCTCAAGTGCTGGGATTAAAGGTGTGTGCCACCACTGCCGGACCTTTATGTCTAATCTAGTGGCTGGCTCTGTCCTCTGATCCTCAGGCATGATTATTAGGGTACACCATATATATAATAACCACAGTTATTAATGCTAGAAGAATTTCCATTCTCCAAGATACCATTTAACAAACTACTAAGAGGAAGAACCAGAGAAACTATGTTTTATTGAGTTGCTTTTGAGAATCAGATGCTCTTTCATAAAGTAACGCTTAGGAACACTTTTGTGTAAACTAAGTGCTAGGTAGAGAAAGCAAAAACAGGCCGTCTTTTGAAATGAAATCTGAAACAGTACGTGTACTGTGACTATACCTCATCTAAGAGAAATGGATGGAGGCTGCACTGGAACCACCACGCAACATTTTCCAGGAGCCTCATCCTGGGCATCCCCATACTGCAAGCCTCCCACTAGAGCTGCTACAGACTGTCTGATTTACGTTCAGCACACCGCCCACACAGCCACTGGAAAGGCATCCCCATTCCTGCCTCTGTGAGCAGCTCCCAGGGAACAATCTGATCAAGTGTTTTCATTTTGCTGCTGGACCATATTTTCTGGCCTCTTAGCCACTGAAGGAGAAAAACTAACTCAGCGGTGAAATGCAAAATTGAATTTCTGCCTTCCCTCAGAAAGGCTACTTCCTAATCATTATAGAATCCAATCAGAATTCACCCCAAACACACACTCAAGGGACAAAAGCGGAGAAGGCCCCACCTCATAGAGCAAAGCTTCATTGCACTCTCGTAACTGCTAAAAAGGCAGCATAACAAGGCCAAGCTTCTACTTGAAGTCTGGTCACTTGATACAAATCAAAGCCAGGGAGCGACATTGAGGCAGCACAGACCTCCATCACTGTTTCAGATGAGGGGGAAACGCAGGGTGCTCTATAGGGTCCCATCGAGGAAAACCGCTGAGCACGCCTGTGGGGCAGGCGTTAGGGAGGTTTCGAAAGAGGGTTTGAAAACTCAGGGGCTTCCAACGTTAAGTAATTTCTCCTTTTCAGGTAATTTCCAGAATAAGATCCTATTAAGAATTTACTACTTGAAATTCACCCAGAAGAAAAGTCTCTAAGCAAGAATACATTTACAAGTAATCCATTTAAATTGAAGACAAAATTTGTAATATATAAAAGTAGTTTAGTCTCATATCCGGTTTCATTTAGCATTTTTTACTAATAATCAAGAAAATAAAGCAGAATGCAAAATGCCAAAAGAAAAATAAAGTGATCTCTGATTTCTTAGATCTCAATAGGATAAATCAGAACTATTCATTTAAACAGAACCATTTCTGGAAAGTAATTCATTTGAAAAATTGAGACTAAATGACATACCAAAGATATACCTAAAGATACACCCAAAAGTCTGAGGTTTAAAAAAACCTCCAGCCAGGATCCCTCCCCCGCTGGCCTGCCTCAAGCGGCCCAACTAGGAATGGACCAGCGAATGCCAGTCTAAGTTTAATTGGAAGAACAGCTCATTGGAGTGAACAGAGGTCCATTCAGACACCCATGGCTGCACAAGATACTGAGAACACGTGACAGCTGAGAGATCAGCCCTAAACAAAACATCTGCACCATCTCCGTAAGGCTCGGGATCATCACAGAGGAGGCGCAAGAAAGCCGGAAGATGAGGGAAAGGGCTGTGAAATAGCATCTTCTAAGCAAGACATAGCCATGGCCATCGTGACCTCGGCAAGACCAGGCATGCCCACAATCAGCTACGGATGTGAGAGGAAGGCTGGGAACCCTCTAACTTACTGGTGTTGCCAACTAACAGACTCCGGCAGAAGGAAGGCAGAGTACCCTGTCTTGGGTCCACTAGTGAGCCCCACAGGCTGGCGCAGACAGGCCCAATCCATGCCCACAGTCAAAGGGAAATGAAACAAAATAAGAGGTCATGAGTATGGGAAAAGAGATTTAGTGGGGAGGGGCTATCAGAGTTGAGAGGGAGATCACAGAGGGTAGAGTAAGTAAAGAAAATACATTAAATACGTGTATGACATTGCCAAAGAACAAAATGTATTAATAAAAAGTTTTAAAAAATAAACTTTAGAAAGGAAATTCAATTCTGTGACAAAAACTTTTGGTACTGTTCTCATGCAAACTGATTTATTAGCCTAACACGCTACATATATTTACTCACACACACACACACACACAAAAAAAATTGTTTTTCAAATTGACACAAATAAATGTGAAAGATTTTAGGGAGAGGCTGATGAACTGGAGTGAGAGTAACCAGTAGATGCTACATACACAGATGCAACTGTCTAAAAAGAAACTTAATTTTTTAAAAATCTGTTTTTATACTTTCCGTAAGAAAAATATGACCAATGTTCTTTAAGCAATGTTCTTTAAGCAGCAAAGAGGACACATTAGGACCACTGGAGAAATTTGTAAAATATAATTAAAACCAGCAATTTTAAAAGATTTACTTCCTTAAAATATACAAAGGCTATCATTTTCCTTGGCCTAATATCTAAGCCTTAAGGCCTATTACTCCTGATTTTCTATTTCCATATGCAGTTGCTCTCCAGCTCTTGCAAAACATGTATTTCCAAAATAATTTATCTGTACTGGTTGTGTTCATTTGAATGAGAATGCCCCCCATGAGCTCATGTACTTGAATATTTGGTACTCAGTTGTTGGAACTGTTTAGGAAGGATTAGGATACATGCTGGAGAGGTATGTCACTGGGGACAGGCTCTGAGATTTCAAGACTCCTGTGATTCACAGATTCACAGTTCTCTCTCTCTCTCTCTCTCTCTCTCTCTCTCTCTCTCTCTCTCTCTCTCTCTCTCCTTTGTGGCTGTGGATTGAGATGAGAGGACAGCTGTTTCTTCACTCCGCCATTACGAACTGAAACCATAAGTCAACATAAGTCAAATCAAATGCTTCCTTTCCTAAGCTGCCTTGGTTCTGTGTTTTATCACAGCAATAGGAAAGTAACTCCACTTGTCTTCCATTCTCACTGTATGCTTTTTGGTCCTTACAAAGAACTATTTTAAATTTGAGTTACAGTCTATGAATTTTTATTCTTGGGTAAATTTCTTTTCTTTTTTCATTTATTCTTGTACACTGCTGTATTTTTAAAAGTTCAGTTCCCCTTTTATCCTCTTGCTTTGATAAAATTTGTTTCTCTCGATCAACAACATAAAAACCAATCTCCCTTACTGGATTTTACATGGTGCTTGTCCTAGAAAACAGTGCACCCAAACCTCTCATTCTTTCCTTCACTAACGTAGCTCTAAAAATGAAGCCATAGTAAATTCCCTTTAGTAAACAATGTGTAAGCTTACTTTTTCCATGAAATAATGTAAAATATGTAATTAGAAATAAATGCTTACTGTGTTATCACTTTTAAAAATCCTATTGTAGTTTCTAATTCAAAGTGACTCTCTAATAAAACAAGACATCAATAAATAATAGCTTTTAAAAATCTCTCAAGCCGGGCAGTGGTTGCTCACGCCTTTAATCCCAGCACTCGGGAGGCAGAGGCAGGTGGATCTCTGTGAGTTCGAGGCCAGCCTGGTCTACAGAGTGAGTTCCAGGAAAGGCAAGGGCTATACAGAGAAACCCTGTCTTGGGAAAAAAAAAAAAAAGATTGCAGTATTGCAAAAAATCCCTCAAAATATGAGGAGATATAATTTAATACAATTGCTTCTTCAAAATTAATTTTTCTTTTTCAAATGTTTTTCATTATTTATTTATTTAGTGTGTGAGAGTGGATGTGTATGGGTGTGGGAGCATGTGTGAAGGTCAGAGGACTTGCAGGAATCAGTTTTCTCCTTCCACCAGGTGGGTCCGGGGATTGAACTCAGATCATCAGGGTTGGTGGCAAGCACTTCACTTGCTGATCCATCCCCAAACTTTTTTCTAATAAACCGTTAGAGTTTCATGTATAATAATTGGTGAAATGTTTGTCCAACACAAAATATCAGTTGCAAGGAAAAAGTTAGTGAGATCTATTGTACAACCCAATGCGTATGTATAGTACAATCTACTCCTAAAAAATTCTCAGGAAAGAATGTAAGCCACTCAATCAAAAATTTTAAAAAGACAGGCTGGAGAAATGGCTTAGAGGTTAAGAGTACTGACTGCTCTTCCAGAGGTCCTGAGTTCAATTCCCAGCAACCACATGGTGGCTCACAACCACCTGTAATAAGGTCTGGTGCCCTCTTCTGGTCATACATGCTGTATACATAATAAATAAATAAATCTTTAAAAAAAATTTTAAAAAGACTAAATATGGGCAGTAATATATGTTTACTATCTGAATTTAGTCACTATCCAGTCTGTACATATTTCAAGACATTGCACATGATAGTATTCCATGTTATCTATTAAAATAACCTTAAGTAGATGCTCATGTTTTCTAAAAACGAAACAAGCACTGAGGTTTCATAACAATAAAATACTGAAAGGAGATAGCTACAGAGACAACCACACACAGCTTTATCCCTTCCAAACTGAAGCTAGGGAAAACAGATGGAGTATGTATATTCCTCAAACCAAAAAGGCCTCTAAAGAAATTCTTCCTGGGGGGACATGAAGGCCTAAGTTCACATCCCCTGGAATCACATAAAAAGCCAGGCACTGTTGTGCATATCTGTAATTCTAACACTGGGGATAGAAGGGCAGCGATGGAGGAAACCCGAAGTTCACAGGCCAGCCAGTTCAGACCATCAGTGAGCACCAAGTTCAGTAAAAGATCCTGTTGCAAAATAAATCGATGGATAAAAAGGTGATAAGCAGTGGAGGAAGGCAAGTGATGTGGACCTCTGGATTTCATGCACACATACACATGAAACCATGTGTACCTGTGGACACACAGGAAGAAAAGGAAAGAAGAAATGAAGTGAATGAGTGAGTGAGTGTCCACGATGTGAGTGTCTGTTTCAGACAGAAAAACTAATCATGGTTACCAACAAAAGACTGCTTATAATTATAAAGACCTAGCACCTAAAAAACCAAGAACAAACAAAAAATACCACCACCACCAACAACAACAACAACAAAACAGCCAGCTACTACTGACTGCAGTCTAGACGAGTGCATGGTATCTTACTGAACAAGACAGCTATCCTTTGAACTTACCTCTTTAGGTTGCCCAGGATCCAACTGATCTAAAATCAGCTGTAGTTTTCCTTGACAGAATTTGTAACTCTGTAATAGAATAGATAGAACATACAGTTATTTAGTAGACTTCCAGAAGAGCCACCATAAACCATGGCTAACACAACTGCAGACACACTATGCACGCTGAACAAGAGAAAGGTGATCAATCTATTTCTATGGGGAGAAACTTGAATCCTTTGTTTCCCATGGCTTTGTAGTCAGACCTGAAATTTCTCAACACAACGCTGCACCTTCCTGTACATGATACTGTTTGCTGAGCCACGATAATGTACAGAGCATTGAAAGACTCAGAGATTAAAAAAAAATACACATTGTGCACCCGGAACAGTGATATGAATCAAACAAAACTACCAAACAGCAAACAATAAAAGACAGGAACAGCACAGCCGCACCTCTGCTCACCGTACCGTGTCACAGTCCCACCTCTGTTCACCCTCCTGTGTCACAACCGCACCTCTGCTCACCCTCCCATGTCACAGTCCCACCTCTCTGCTCACCCTCCTGTGTCACAGCCACACCTCTGCTCACCCTCCAGTGTTACCCTCTTCCCCAGACTTTCCTTAGCCTGTGTATTGGTGAAACAAATCCCTGAAATAAAACCCTCCATCTAGAAAAAGGTGTACAGCACACTCTTGGGCTGCCCCAGAGCTCTGCACAATTGCCCCCTTACCACTCTGACCTCAGCTCATCCAGCTCCTTGGGGAAGCATTCCCTGGTGTCACAAGGGCAATCTGTCTGCACCTTCACCACTGTAGGGACACTACTGCTCTGTGGCAGTATGGCATCACTGCTGACCATTCAAAAACTGCCCCCACCAAACTGGCCTATGGGCTAAGCGAGCCAGGAAGAGCAAGGCAGGAAGCAGCTTTTCTCTGTGGTCCCTGCATCTGCTTCTGCTTGAGTTCCTACCCTGACTTTGCACAGTGGTAGACTACAATTGGGACATGTCAGCCAAATAGACCTTTTCCTCCCTAAATTGCTTTTGGTCAAAAAAGCAAACAAGGACCAGTATGGTCAAGGATACAGTAGAGAAGCTGTATTCAGAGTTCTAAATCCTAGCTCCCTCCTCTGGCCATGTTGTCCTTAACTCCCATTGCCCATCCTTGGTCCCGACATCTCCCCACAGCGGCACTGCATCTCTGGGCTGAATGCTTTGCTTCGTCGTCGTTATTCAGATTGTCAAGTAAATTTTACATTTCTGTTGTCTATATAAGAAAATAGGGCCAGGCGGCGGTGGTGGCGCATGCCTTTAATCCCAGCACTCGGGAGGCAGAGCCAGGCGGATCTCTGTGAGTTCGAGGCCAGCCTGGTCTCCAAAGCGAGTTCCAGGA